CCCCCCCCCCCCCCCCCAACCTGATAGCTTAGTGTCAAATCTGAACCACAATTACAAGTAGGATCCACACACAAGTTGGTGCCACTCCTACTCACTTGTGGGGAAAATATACAGAGACCTGAGTAGGAGGGCCCCAACTTTGCCCTTTTCTCCAAAAGTGGAGGAACACACTCAAGCACTCTGAAGGAAAAGCATCTGTTCACCACCCCAGCAACTGAACTTGGTAATGACTCTGGAGCTCCACTAATAGAGTTGGGGGGAGTGGGGAGATAATATGTGCTGGGAAGTCCTGAGGAACAGTACTCTGGAAACTGTAAAATTGGTGAACCAAGACCCCTACATTTTTAAAAGCAAACTGACCCCAATTTAGTCAACCTGAAGATTGGCAAGGATGGGCAGGATCCCCTTTAGTTTTACTCATGATAGTCCATGAGTGGCGGCCCATAGTAATAAGGTAATATCATCTGGTAAACACCAAGATGGTCTTATGGATCACCTCATTTCGACAGAGCCTGTTGCAATTTGTAATAATTATAGTGAAAGTGGTTGCTAGTGCAGAATTGAAAGGAGAAAGCATACCTGCCTGGGCAACACTCACCACAGAGTGGGATCCAGTGAAAAATAAAGGGACCCTGAAAATAAAAAACGAGTATACAATTGAGGAAAATACTCACCTCTGGTTAAAATCTAAGAGATGTGGTCAAGATAGCTACAGGAGGTAGTCAAAAACAATCAGATCATGTAAGTAATGAGACAGGAAAGTATCAGTAGTAGTCCTCACACCAGCACGCACAATGTCTTCCAGAGGGCAATTCAACCAGATGGCTAATGACATAGCGATATGATGAATCTGGTGAGATGTGACATGCAAAAGATTCCTCTCCTGTAACGATAATTCATGATAGACCATATGAATCAACTTACGAAGCCACCTCGTTAGGGTAATGGGAGATAAGTCACAGGAAATAGAAGGATTCCAATGAATGAACAATCGATTCCTACTACCTTGAAATGAGATAGTACAAACCACATAACACTTGAGGGCCCTAACAGGATATAACAAACAATCAGGATTGGAGCAGTAATAAAGGTGAGAAATGACTGGCAAATGGACTGGTGAAAAGTACTGGCTGCCAGTCTTTGGAAGAAAAGACCTATTGAGGTAAAGCAGGACAAATGTGGAATGATAAAGAGTGCGATGCACGTGGATTGCAAACAACTCTGACCAAAGATGTCCACAAGCCAACAACAAAAAATAAATACAATTTAAGAGAAAGGTAAAATAAAGAACACGAAGCTAAAGGCTCAAAGGGAGAATGAGACAATGCATGTAAAACAACTGTAAAATCCCAATTCAGTAATTGAAAAGGTCGTTTGGGTCAAAGAATACAAAAGGATTTGAGTAGACCTGATAGTACTGAGGATTCAAGAACCTTCCAATCTTTGGAATACTAAAAAATAGTGGATAAGGATGTCTTATATAAAGCCACCGTAAATGAAGCAGGATCCCTCTCAAATGCCAAAGTCATAAAATGGGATATGGTAGATACTTTAAGATGAAGAGGGTTTAAATGCCTTTTAATACACCACTGATGATAAGTATTCCATTTACATTGATATGATTTCCTCATATGTACTCGTTCTTAAGGAATGAGAGGCTCAAGGAATGCCCACATCCCTAAAAGAGAGAGAACCATCCACACAATAGGAGAAGAAGACATAAGTAAAAGCCTGGCAGTTCTTTCCATGGCTTGAATCCTGATACTGGTTGGTTGAGTACAGCTTAAGTGAGTATTGGACGAGATATTGCATCGGTGACAGAATAGATTTCTCCAGTCTGATAAAAAAGCCCACTTTTGTGACTTCTGAAAGGAGAATCTGAGAGTGTTGCACTGCTAACTGATGGGATGGTGCCAGAAGGAGCCAGTTGTCCATATAATGATGCGTGCATTGGCCCAAGAAATGCAGATGATGAGAAAATGCTTGAACAACTCTGCAGAAGACATAAGGTGCTGATGCAAGACCAAAAGGTAGAGCCCTGAACTGCAGCACCTGACCCTTGTGCACAAATCTGAGAAACCTCCAGGAAGATCCCACTATGGGAATATGGAGATAAGTGTTGGTAACATTGAACTTGGTCACCCAGAGCCCCGGCACAAAGTGCCATTGTAGGAAAATATTCCATTGTAAAGAGAAGAGGATCTAAAAATTGGTTGAGTCACAACAGATTGATGATTGGATGCCAATCTCCTGTCTTCCTGGGTACAATGAATAAACAGGAATAAAATCCCAGAAGAACAGAATCGACCCTCTTTACTGCCCTTTTGACTAATAACTCTCTTATTGACTGGGAACAAAGCTCCACTCACCATGGATCTGTTGGGGGTGAAAAAGCAACAGGTTGTGCAGATAATGGTGGAGGTGATGTCAATTGAATGACCAGCCCTGAAGTCAGAACATGGAGTACCCATGGATACTTGGTGAAAGAACTCCAAATGTCCAGAAAGTGATGTAATCGTGCTCCCCTGCCCACGGGATAGTCACCAAACCATTTGTACATGGTCCGCCCAAGCAGAAGATCCTTGAAAATACAGACAAACTCTATTATGAGAAACAATAGACCAGGGAACTGAAGGAGGAGGTCGGGAAACACTATGAGCTGACACTCTAAAATTAGTGCCAGAAAGGCGAGAAGCCAATGACGATAAAGAATGTAAACCAGTTGAATCAATTTGTGATTCTAACACCTATGAAACTCCAACAAACAACATGAGAAAGGGAAAAGGAGTTTCCCTGAGGACAGAAGATGGTAAGTGAACACTTTCTAACAAAGCGTCTCTACCCAATAATTCCCAACAACAAACCAGCGAGGAAACCAGAGAAATAACTGAAGAAGACAATCTGACTGAGTTAGATGTCAGCAAAATCCCCAACTTGTCCTGAAATTGCTGAGGGGAACATTGATAGGCTTCCAAAAAAAGTTGGATTGAAAATAAATACCTCAGGACAGTCATGGGAGTAAGACGAATCCGAGAAAACTGAAAGTGATCACAGGTTCCAATCTAGACCCCCACAGGTCCAAAAGGGGGGGGGGTCCAGTCCATCCATTGAAAATCTAAATATATCTCCTCCTGGCAGTGATAAGCCAAAGCATGCTGTTCTGATAAACATTTGTTTTTGCTGCTTATACTGGATTTGTGTCATATCATTATTATTTCCTTTTGAATGCTACAGAAATATTTCTTTAAGAAAAACAATTCAAATAAAGATATCTATGGCTAGTACATATATAAAACTAAAGAATGAACAATAACTTTGTTAATAAATTATTTCTGATCATGTTTAATATATGTTTTTTTATTACGTTACATAATTGCTTCAGTGGGCACGTTTTTTAAAAAGTGTTTTTACAATGAACTTTCATTGATTTCAGAAGCTAAAACTTGATACAAATATTAAGTCCAAATTAAATTATTTTTTACACAGAGATATCTGAATTTATTTAGAAAGTTGGAATCATTTGATTCAACAGTTTTGGTTTTCCCACTTTTTTATCCAACACTCCCAAGGATCACAGAGTTAAAAAATAGTGTATGCAATTATATTAGTATGTACTTTTTTTACATAATTTTTTTTATTATCTACTACTATGTACGTTAACAACATTTTAAGATTAATTCATGACGTTTCTTCGACATAAATAATCTACAACAAATTTAAATTGTCAAACAACATTTGTTTAGGTGTAACAACGTACCTGTAAGATATTTGATAAAATCAAACTTTTGTAACAAGTAGTTAAATTTTACTTTAACAGACCCCATCAAGTCAACCTCTGTAATAATTCAGTAATTGGGTTCTATAATTATGTAAGTTACAGACAAGTAACTTTGTAAACTCTGGCCTAAAAGCCTCAACAGTGATATACATATTAATTAACACTGGACCAACAGAATTGTAATGGTGAAAGTTCACTAACCTGGTGTTATTGAAAAATGAGGAGAATCTGCTTCAAGGCCTACAGTTCCTGGACCAACAGAATCGTAATGGTGAAAGTTTACTAACCTGAAGTTATGAAAAAATGAGGAGAATCTCCTTCAAGGCCTAGAGTTCCTGGACCAACAGAATCATAATGGTGAAAGTTTACTAACCTGAGGTTATGAAAAAATGAGGGGAATCTCCTTCAAGGCCTAGAGTTCCTGGACCAACAGAATCATAATGGTGAAAGTTTACTAACCTGAAGTTATGAAGAAATGAGGAGAATCTCCTTCAAGGCCTACAGTTCCTGGACCAACAGAATCAGCCAATACATTTATCAAAGAAAATGCTCCACTCATCATTCCAAATCCCAGTCCAGCAACTGTTCCAAAATGAAAGATAAATAAGAAATCTGAGTTTAAACTGAATTGAGTAGTGCCTACAGGTATACATTTGATTGAGACAACCACAAACAACATAAACTCCAATTATTATTCATTTCTTCTCTACAAAACCTAGTTTCCCATTATCATGATAGAAAGAAAACTGGCTTAAGAGTTCCTTTATTCCCTCACAGATAATTCACATCAGAAAATACACACATCCACATTGCATGAAAAGGAATCGCATGTTAAATGATTTACCTTATTATGAATTAGTCATCAAATTTTTTACTTATTACCGTAGACAAACTATTTAACTTAGGAAATGCTATCCAATTATGTTAACCAAAATAACTTGTAACTTTGTGCAATAAAAAACAAATAATTTAAATGACAAAATGCTATTGAGTTCTTTTAACTAAAATTACTTGTGATATTATACAATAAAAAAACTAATTTAAATAATGAAATACCACCCAATTATTTTAAATAACTTTTGATTCTGAACAATAAAAATAACAAATAATTTAAATGTTACTCAGTTCTTTTATTGAAAATAATTTGAGTTCTTACCACAAAATCAAAAGTTTAACAAGGTCAACAACATTTAAGTCTGCGATGTGTACCTAATGCCAAAGTTTCTATGCACATAAACTAAAATTACATGCATTTCTAAATACATATATATTTCAAATCTTGTGCTTCAAAAATGTGACACTATTGATTCACCTGTTCAGTAGGTGATGATTGCTGACAAAAAAGGTAGATTCTGCTGCAGAAGTGCAATAAACATTTATTCAAACATAATGGCATTACCATTTATACATAACAATAACTGTGGCCTGTGTATGATTCATGTAATATTCAAGTGGTTGATAATCCTAATTAGTCTAAATGTGACCAGGTAGAAACCATTATAAATTGATTTTTCTGTCTGTTAAATTGTCTAATTCTCAAAAAATGCTTGCAGTAATATAGAGTTGAATATGTTATATTAAAAATAATTCTATAAAGTCTTATCATTTTGATACAGTCCAGGTCGCCACATCTAGTCATGCTTTATAACTTTCATAAGCAAAAATACAATTTATTTAATATCTTTTAACTCTGTTCCCATTCTTTCAAACTCCACTTATGGTCTGTTCCAGTCCATTCCTGTATTTTCATTCCCCCTCCCCTCATACATATTAAATTTAAATTCAAATAAAAAATGAACAAATGATAATCGAATGTTATCTAATTTAATTTGTCTTATAAAATTTGCAATTTGTAAAGAAATATATTCAGATAACTTATTAAAACACATTCAGAAAGAAACAAAAACTACTTTTTAAATAATAAAATTATATTTTGTAAAAGTAATTTTTGATAAATCAGTTTTCGTTGCACAATATGATGATCTCTTTAACTCTTTCAGCACAGGCTCGGTCCCTGGGACTGACCTTGTAACCATTTTGTGCTTGTTACAGTTTTCATGCTATAACTTTTAAATTAGTAAGTGAATGTCAAAGAAATTTGGTACATTATCAGTAAACATTACAGTGCTTTCATACACAAAATATCAAATTTTTTTATTAAGTCTTAAGGTTTGTACAGCAATGTTTTTCTCATACCTTTTTTTTTGTTCTTTTTGAATGTTGCCTATCTAACATGCAAAGTAATTTTAATTTTAAGATTAAAAATACTTTTATGGATCAGAAAATTTTCAAATTTCACATACAAAATCTATATAATGTCCAGTTAGTTATCAAACATTTCTTTAAAAAAAAACTTTATATTTCATTCGTTATTTTTCAGTAATGAATCTCTGCAGGGGTTCAGTAGATTTGATCATTCTCGTAATCACCATAAAAAAACTAGGAAATAAATATAACTTATGCATCTTTCATTCTAGAATGAACATAAACAAAAATACTAAAATATAAATGTTTAGACTAAATAGCATAAATCTCATAACATTACACATTTATATATATTTATTAAATTGATCTTTCAGCCGTTCCTGGCTAACAATACAGAAGTTACAATGATGCAGTTCATGTGCACTCATCTTACTATATCCAATAACATAAAACTGACCTTTGCTCTGTACAAAGTAACTTGTCTTGGCTGTGTTTTAGTAGACTAGTATTTTGTAAAATACAGTCACATTTCAATTATTATACATTATATATGTATAGAGATTATTTTGAAATAAGTTCTTAAACATACTTTTCTTAAAACATATAACAGTAACTAAAGAAGTAAAGCAAACAATTATCTCTTCTATTTATGATCTTTGTACTCGGTTGCTGCTTGATGTAGATTGTTAAGCCTTTTAAAATTTTGCACTTAGAGGATATGAAACAAAATATTTTTTTAGGTTTTATATATACATTTGAATAACTAAAAAACATAAACATAAATTACTATATCAATACCATAGAATTCAACTATAATTTATCAAGCTTAGTAAC